GACGACTGTCCATGCATGACAATCTAGTTTTGTCTCTATATGACGTACAGGGTGTTTTACATAAAACGTACCTGCAGAAATGTACCGATTTTTTTGCAAAAAAGGATATAAAGCGTATTCCAACTGGTTCATCATCTTTTGTTAAATCAAAAACAATTACATTTCTGTGTCCTAAAACATCGATATTTGTAAATGTATCCGCATCCACATATTATTCATCATCTAGATACTGTAGCGCTTTTCTGGGTTCTTTTGAGTGTGTATTAAAACACTGGATTCCACAAAAAGAAATGCACTAATTTATTTATCTTGACTAGATAGAACATTTATGTACACCACTATTTATGTCTGACTAATTCTTATGTCGTGCCATTAACTGAACCTCCACTCCGCTTTACTATACTCTACTCTGTACTCTGCTTCCCTCTCCCGGCCGTCGAGTATAGTCCGCATCGTGGGTCGAGAAGAGTCCGGCGGGCCACAAAGCGAAAGTCTAGAATATTCGAGGTCACTTCTCGTCGATCTAGAAGGCGAGTCACTGGCATGGTCTTCAACAGGTGTCGCCACAGAACGAGACGATCCCCAGCAGAGATCGGCCATGAAGCAGCTGGCGAGTAGGAGAGTCCCCTACAGATGGCGCCAAGGGTACTATTTATTCTTGCTACACTGCCCCCTTCCGTCCGGAATGATCTTACTGGCAGTGGATGTCGATATCGGTACGATCCACACGCTTTCTAGGAGGTAGCCGTCTAGGACTGTGACAACATACCAGAAATGGAACGCCTGTATACCGGAAGACTACCTCAAGCATGCTTCGGATGATTCTCCAGTCCAGATTGCCCAGTCCACATGCCAGCTTAGGTGTTGCCAGTTTTCTCAGGGCCTTGGCAAGCAATACTTCTCTGAGGGAACACAAAGCGTTCCAGACATCCTCGTAATTCGGTTTCTGATACGAAGCTTTCTTGGTAACTAGATAGAAGATCTTTCGGTTGGTACCATCTTCAGTTATCTGGAGTACCTCTCCGACTTCCGGGTTAGATTGTCGCAGCTCGTGCACTCCTCCAGACTTCCTAAGAAAGACCTTTGCTATACCTCTCGACATTCGCAAGTCTTGAGCCAAACAGTGTGCCAAGTCATACTCTGGTGAAGTGGTAAACATGTCGGTTCTGGTTGGATTTGCCGCACCGCCGCATATTCGTTGTTTCCATGATAAGGTGCAAATCGGTTGAAATGCACAATTCGGCCTTCACCGCATGGTGCCCTCTGAATCCTGTAGGGAATATCGTTGATGTCCTCCAAAACTTTTTATGGCCCGTCTCAGGATGATTGAAGTTTAGGCGACAGCCCTTTTCGCCTCTTTGGGTCGTAAAGCCAAACCGTATCACCTTTGCCAGACCTCTGGTCTTTGGCATTAACGTCATAAGCTTCCTTCATCCGGTCGCTGACACCTTGAATTGAAACACAAACCTCGCTGTGGATGGCGTCCATTCTTATACGCAGCTCACTTACATAGTCTTCTCCGGCAATATCAGTTCCTGGTGGACAGCCAAACTTTAGTTCGCATGGGAGGCGAAGTTCTCTTCCCATAACTATTCGAGCCGAGGTCTCTCCTGTACTTTCATGAATTGACAACTGGTAAGCCAATAAGAAGAGGTGAAGAAAACTATCCCAGTCACTTTGACGGCTAGAGACTACCTTAGCCAAACACCGATTAATGGTCCTATTCATGCGCTCCACCATTCCATCTGAATGCGGGTGTAAGGCAGTAGTCCTAGTCTTCTTAATCACAAGGATTTGACAGATACTTTGGAACAAAATTGCGCGCTTGGTCCGATTGCAACTCTAAAGGTACACCAAATCGACAGATCCATTGCCTTGCATCTGCTACCGAAGAGGCTTCCTGATTTGGCAGAGCGAATGCCTCAACCAACTTACTGAAGTAATCCATGAACACAGTGATGTATTTATTCCCTGCTTCACTTTCTGGAAAGGGTCCCGCCACATCAATAGCAATCCTTTCAAAGGGGCTCCCGACGTTGTATTGGCGGATTGAAGCTTTTGGTTTCCTTTGCAGTCCATTCTTTTGCGTCCTCCTTGCTACTGACCCAGTATAATCTTTCCCTCACTTTTCCCAGGGTTCTAGTAACTCCGAGATGACCTCCTGACGCACCGGAATGGATTTCTTCTAGCAGCTCCGGGAGCTGACATCTGGGGATAGCGGTTTGTCTTCTTTCCTCTTTGCCGTCTTGGTCCACCATTTTACGCAGTAAGAGTCCGTCGTCCATAACGAGGGAATTACATTATGCCTAGTATGATTTTATGGTAGGGGAGTACTTGGCAAGTTCTTCCCAGGCTGGTTTCCGTTGTTCTTCCATCCAGTTCAGAATTGGTCTTTAATGAGGTATTCATTTTGCCAAGTATCACTAACGATAAAGGTTATTAATACTTGGGCGTCTTTCTTCTCTGCCCGCTGGCAATGCTTATAATCCTCTAAACACGGTCTTCTAGATAAGGCATCTGCATTTTCATGGATTTTTGCCACTGGTTGTTTGATATCGAAGTCAAACTCTTGCAGCCCCTGTACACATCTTGCAACTTGACTTTCTGGGTTCTTAAACTGGAGAAGCCATTTTAAAGCTGCGTGATCGGTTCGTAGTAAGAATTTTCTGCCATATTGGTATTTGTAAAAATGTTCCATTTGCTTTACGATGACCAGCAACTCCCTCTGGGTAATATAATAGTTACGCTCTGGTTTGGACAGTGTTTTGCTAAAATACCCAATGACCTTCTCTTCTTTGCATTCCTGGACTTAATACAGCACCTATGCCCACATTGCTAGCATCAGTGTCTAAGACAAACTTTCCTTCTGGCAGTGGATAGCTGAGTATAGGGGCGCTTGTTAAAGCTTATTTCGAGTGGGTAAAAGCTTTTTGGCAATCTTGGTCCCATTGGAATTTGCGTTGCCCTTCTGTCAGCCTGGTCAATGTTTTTGCGATGTTAGCAAATCCTTCCACGTAACGTCGGTAATATGTACACAAACCTAGGAAGCTGCGTAGCTCACGTTTGTCCTTCGAAACTGGCCATTATTTTACAGTCTGGATTTTCTCCTTGTCCAACGCGACTCCCTGACTGAAAGCAACATGGCCAAGATATTGCATAGCTCTTTGAAACAGGTGGCATTTCTTTGGGCTTAATTTCAAGCCAGAACCTCGTAGCCTTAAGAAAATTTCCTCTAAGTTCTTCATGCGGTCCTGTGGTCTCCAGATGATTTCCCCACCACGATAATGTCGTCACGATAAACCAGGCAGGTTTTCCAGGATAATCCTCTTAGAATCGTGTGACGGACATTTTCCGGATTGATCTTGTGCTGGACAATATTGGTTCTTCCTTTCTGTACAGTATCGAATACATTCCGATATCTATGTACTAGATGTTTCAGTTTCTTTCTTTGGTCTGGTCTTACTTCTCTGCCTGATGACAATATCAGTTCTTCCAGTTCCTTAGGAATAGCCCCTGAGTTTTCCACAGCTGCCATATGTCGAATGATAGCAGAAACTGGACAGCACTATCCCAGATCCGATGATTTCTTCAATGACACAGGGTAATGACTGACATTCATTAGTCTCACAGGAATAGTTCTATCGGAACGCACAAGGCCTTTGCAACTGCTATCCCTCGGCCAATAGCCTCGTCATGCATCCTAGGTTCAAACATGACTATTTCTCCGTCTGTAGTCTGGCCCCATTCCGAGCCGTTCAATACAACTTCGCTTCGTTCTGGGATCACGGTGTGTTCAGGCAATAGAAATCGTACGTTTCCATTCCATTCCCGATGTAAAATGACCTCCTCATTGTTGAATTTCAAGATTCGTTGCTTAAAGTTTAACTCGAAGCCCTTTGTGTCCATGGTGTCCATTCCGATGATTACCTCATCATCAGTATCAGCTACTACCGCCGGATTTTCGAATGTAGCTTTTCCTATTCCAAATGCGATGTTCACTCCACCGTACACGTTTGCTCGGTCTCCTGTCGCCGTTCATAATCGCCATTTGGATGGTCGGATCTTCGCCGATGCTTTAACCATATCGGGCCTCATAATAGTCTTTGTCGCACCTGTATCCAGCAGTACGGTGAGGAGAGTCCCATCCACAAAAGCATCGACAGAAACACTTAGACTGAGGTTAAAGCGAGGAGACTTGGACGGTATTAACTGATGGGGCTTGTTGGCTACAGGTCGACGATAGCCCCTTCACATCGACCCTTAGTTTTTCGGATTGGCCGGATGAGGAGTAGCATCTTCAGGACAGCGTCTCCTAACGTGCCCTATTTTTCCACATTTCCAACATTCCAACTTGCTGTTCTGGCGGCGACGTTCACCATCAAGTTCCTTAAAAATGCGCTTGATGGACTCTTCTCCTGGTACCATCTGGCGGACTCAGACCTGTCTTTTATTTGTGTTTTTAGGGGCTTCGAATTCTAAGACCGAAGCTAGCGCATCTACTAGCTTAGGTGGATGAGCTAGTAGTAAGGCTTGCCTCATTTCACCATCACAAAGTCCATCCAGGAATGCTTGAACTGCCAATCGTTAAATTATCCTTTCTTGACCATCGGGAATTATGCTAATCGTACCAACTGCGCAATATCCGCTTCGAACTCCTGCAAGGACTCGCCTGACGTCTGCAACCGATTCTTTAATTGACTATGGTAGACATGTTCTAAATGTGACTGGCCGTATCGCATCTCCAAATCTCTTGCTCTTCGGATCATATTCTTATAAGAATAGCTGCAGGATCTCCTCGCAGGGCCAAAGTTAGTGCAGTTGCCTTTTCGGTCGATGACCAACCATTTGCATTCGCGGCTGCCTCAAACTGATGTCGGTAGACATTCCAAGACGTTATACTATCACATTGCGGCCGTTTCATTCGCAGATGACCAGCTGACCCTACAGAATCTCCGACCTCACTTGATTTTTTCAACGGAAGTCCACGCTGTCGTTCGTCGATGGTCTTGACGCCTAAAACTTGCCTCGCACTTCTTGAATTCTGTCCTCCAAAGTTTCGAAAATCCGTGTTTCCAACTCGCAAGATTTTTCCATATATTTATCTTGCAATTCTTTTTTTAAATTGGCAGTATTTTCCAAACACTTCTCTTCTAATTTGGCTGTACTTTCCAAGAGTTTTCCTTCTAGGTTGGCACAATTTTCCACGCGCTTTACTTCTAGGTTTGCACAATTTTCCACGAGCTTATTTTCTAACTTGGCTGAGTTTTCTAAAAGATCGGCACAATTTTCCACGAGCTTTCCTTCTAGGTTGGCACAATTTTCCACTAGCCTATTTTCTAACTTGGCTGAGTTTTATAAAAGATCGGCACTTTTTCCATGAGCTTTCCTTCAGGATTGGTACAATTTTCCACGCGCTTGTTTTCTAACTTTGCTTGAGTTTTCTAAAAGATCGGCACAATTTTCCACGAGCTTTCCTTCTAGGTTAGCACAATTTTCCACGAGCTTGTGTTCTAACTTGGTCGAAAGGTTTTGCAGCATTAAACCAATATCCCCTTCACCGGTAAAAATGAAAATATCCGGCTCCTCACCTTCCTCAATCAGTGCTTGACGAAGCCGCTCCTGTAATTCTGCTTTCTTTCCAGCCATGTCGCACCCTCTTTCCTCCAGTTGTCTCTTTAAATCGGCAATTTTCAAATCAACCAATCGGCCACTCTTCCTTCACTTTATGGGTGTATGAATATCAAAAATCCTGAATGGTTTTATGCAAATATCAATCTAAGGTGCCATGCAATATGTATGAAATTTTTGGTAGAGTCTTTGTCATCAAGTAGGTGTTTAATGGCTATATGCAAGAGGTTTGTAGGAAAAAACACACGGTAGCTGATGTTAAATCAGTAAAATCTAATATCAATTGAAGAAAATAATATAAACATAAATTAACAATCAATAGTAAAAAAAAGGCATGAATTTTATTCTAAAACATTTCTTTGAATTCTGGCTGAATTATTTGTAGTTTCTTAATATTCAATGAGCTGGTGATGCTTCAATAACAAGCTGTCATCTCATACTTTGAAAATATTTTGTTTTCAATATTTCATAGCTATTTGTTGCTAAAATTCGTTGATTGCATCTGGAAGCTGATTCGCTATATTTGACGGACTGACTCTATAGGTGAAGAATAACGGCCTGTTAATTTGACAATCCTGGTGAAATCTACCCTAAATGACATAGAAAATGCAACACCGCCTAGGAGTGCTGTAATTTTGAGCATACTTTTACAAGTTTTAGGTCTACTGATAAATAGAAAGTGATTAAAATTTTAACTCGAATTTCGAAAAATAGCCGAGATATTCCACCTTAATGTTAATAATGTGCTGAAGCTCCTCTGTTCGCTATACATTTTTCAGGTCGTCGCGGCATTGATCGATGCCATTTTATCAGTTACTCAAACTAACGATAACCACTATTAAATGCGCATGAACCACGCTTCCGCGGTTTTGCCTCGTGGGGGTGTATATTTATCCACTACGGTGTACCGAGGACTTGATGCTGTAATTCTGTCTTCTGAGAAAAAATAAAATAAAACGTGAGTGTCCATTTAAATGGACGCCAGGCCTCAGGACGATATAAGGGCAGTGCATTTCAATATAAAATTATTCTTTTATATAAACTTTAAGGCTCATCTCTGATCGTGTAAGAATTGCAGCTCTGAATACTCGTATGTATACACAAGAGAATGAAGAAATCTTGAAATAAACATTTTTCTTCACAACAAAAGGCGATAGACACATCCGCTTTGTTTTAAAATGTGTATAAGCACGTATATTTTTCTAATATCTTAGCGCATCCGTCCATTCACTATCAAATATGAAGTGTTTTATAAGCGCATTTGTTCATTCACTATCAATTACGTAATGTTTGAATTTCTTTATAAGAAAAAGGCGTGTCCCTTTGTTTTTCGCATAAAAAAAAACATTCATCTTCAAACTGATTTGTGATTCATATCGGCGAGGTAAACTCGTGTATTTTGCTATAAAATGCTGTTTGAGCGAACCTTGTATAATGCTCAATAATCTAGTAGTGAAAGCCTAAAGACAGGCGTTTTGGGATAAGCAATTAGAAATTCTCAAAAACTTCTTGACCAATCGACTCCAGTTTTGTTGTCGTTATTAAGAAGTTTGATGCCTACGGATGTGAAGAATTTCAGTTATCTGCATTTTGACTATGTTTTCGGCCATACCTTTTTTGCTATTGTCGGATCTTTTTACGTGTCGTCTCATTTTGTAGGTCTCGTAAGTACCTGAAAATTTTAATTGAATTGTTTTTTCTTCCTGCCTTTTGATTGAATCCCAAAAAACACATTTTATCATTCTTTGTAGTTAAATAAAAAGTTTTTCTACAAAAATTGGTGTACCCATTCTATGCGTTCATGTTTTAAATACCCCCTTCAACAACTTGTATCAATAAAACCAAACTCTACAATTATTTTGGAGAAATTTACTAATATGATTAGACAGTATGAAATTCTTACCTCTACGGTAAAAATTCCATTAGTGTGAGAATGATATCAAATGTCAATTTGAATTCATACCACAAACCTTTCCATGCGTTTAATGAAACTATGCCGTAATAATGTCTACTCGACAAATCACGAAATATAAAGGACTAACACTTTGGGGTCCATGATTAATTTTTGTTTACCAAATTGCTTTGGCCCAAACTGTGAGTTTAGACATTGTTTCCAGGAAGATGTCGCATGTGTCAGATATCAAGTGCAAGAGGTCAACAGCTCCTCAGATTTCAAAATATAATAAACATTCGGACTGCACGTGTCTCGTAGATTGCTTTTGTAGTATACAAAATGTCCCCTTTTTATGCTATTAGTGTCTCACTTGCAACTTTGTCAATCAACTTTGATACTGGAGCTGCCCAAAATGCGAGAGCCTGAATACCGAAATACTACGAAGCCTCTTCCGGTAGGTGGTTCTACATTCTCCATACCCTAGCAAGAAATAGTGATCGTATCGGTTCTCAATGCATAGTGTGACCAACTACGAGTATGTTATCACTTGATCCATGCTCTTTTCTCAAAAACAAGTAATTATACAAAAATCTCTTCGTACATACATTATATTATATTTACTTGTACCAGTCCCCAATCTATATAAAGTAATCGCGTAAAAATCGCAATTTCTTCGTTGCTCGTTATTCGATAACCTCATAACATTTGATCTAATTATCGTGCCCAGTCGCGATTACATATTTCTTCTTATATCTCCTAACGAGCCAGTCTGTTGTTTCTCGACCATCGTTCGGGAAAGTTGTGCAATAAAGTGCTGCCACGTCCCTACATCTTTTCTCCTTTTTCTTTGTGAAACACTATCGCTGCATGATTGCCGAGGATCTTGATGCGAGGCGTCTTCACGAGCTTTTGCAAGATTTCTGTCCCGGTAAGTAGACAGAATTCTCCAGAAATCTCTTGAAATATACCTTCCTCATAGTCGAAGAACGCAGACATAACGTTACGTTGCCTTAAAACCATAAAATGTTTACAACTGCTCATAACTGAAATCATCGATTAACATATTTTTCGGGAATATGTTCAACCCTATACTGTATTTGGACGTTTTCATACAATGTCTATTATCACGACCATGTTCCCAAATGAGATGGCGGTAATTCTCCTAGAGAAAGATCACATATCAGCCTCCCTGATAATTATTTCTAGGATTTCGTATCCTCAGAATATCTCAACGACGGAAAAATAAATCCCATGACAACAATCCGAGAGGCAGCAATGCTTCTGCTAAAGATGTTGGTCGACACCACGGATGTTACGGAGGTTCGATTTGAAACTCTTAAATGAAAGATTATCCATGCAGATTTATCAAATACAGGGGATACGCGAAAATAGAGATTTTATATTTCAAGTTCTTTGGACCGATGAAGGCACCTTTAACAGGAGCGTCAATCTGCAAAATACGCAATATTGGTCTGCAGAAAATCCGCACCGGTTGCGTGAAGTGGCATACTGAGAGGCAGAATTATTGAGCCATATTTTTTCGAGCAATCCCTAAATGGCAATGTCTTTCTGGATTTTTTGGACAACCAACTACCATTGTCATTGGAAGATGTGCCTCTGATGGAAACACGGCAAAACTTGTTCTTGAAGTTGTATGGTTGACCAGCACATTTTGCTATTATTGTGCGAGAGCATATTAATGTAGCGGTTGATTGGAAGAGGAAGTCTGATTGCATGGCCTTAGCGATCACCAGACGTAACTTGTCTTGATCCTTATTGGTGGGGACGGCTAAAGGATATCGTGTATATCCACACCCAGAGAAGATATGAAAAACCGGCTTCGTAATGCAATACGTAACATACCGAGAGCAGAAATTGAATTTCCAGCATTTATGGGGGCATTAAAAACCTTCCTTTTTAGTGCCACAACTTAATAATAAGAAATTCCAGAAAAATTAGTTCAAAAAAAAATAAAATTTAAGGGATTTCCGTATAAAATTTACTTTGGCCTGAGTTTTAGGTTAGGAATAAGATATCGAGATGCGGCTTTTGCGAGCTTGCTTAGACATCATAAAAAGCATACCAATGCTTTATTCTTCGAGAAAATTAACCATTTCTGTCTGAATGTAGAAGAGAGCCCTCTAGCGGTCACATGTGAAGCTAACAAAACTTCTAATATTATAACATTTATGCCCAAGAATAGCTCTTTTCAAGTAGCCCAAGTATGTTAAAACCGGCTTTGTCGTTTCGAAGATTTTTACGGAAACCTTTGAATACCCCCACCACTTTATTCGAAATACAGTAAAATTGTCAAACAAAAAAGGTTCAGATTATCCTCGAATTTTAAGATTAGTTTTTTTTTGTTAGGTAAATACGGCGAAATTCACAGAAACATCACTTTTTTTCTTGTCCGTTTTAGTAATAACTGTTTTTGTCGCAAGCCTCTAGGATGGATAGGATCTCAGATACAGTATCTCGAGCAGCAGAGGCTACAGAAATGTATCAACAGAACCGCAAAGCGTATGATCGACACGCGACGGTTTGAAATATTTCGTTTCAAGGATAATTATACAGGGAAATCTATGATGAGCGGAACATGTTTAGAAGGTGCATAGATTTACCGCGGCCGGATGCGTCCTCTGTATACCAACGTCAAAAAATTGGAATACACACTCCCCAACCCTTTAAAAGATTATCAGGATCTTCTGAAGCGTCAATAAATGAAGTTTGAGCGATTTCTGTTTTTTTTCATTTTTATCCCTGGCTACTAGATCAATTTTCAAAAACAATAAAGCTTTTTTGTCCTTGGCATAGTATACTCAGTGACATTAGAAGTGTTAACCCAGAAAATTTCTTAAACTTTTTTTTGGCAACATATTGACAATATTTAAAGCATGCTGTGGCAACAGTTATTGCCCTTTTATTTGCTAGTGTTAAGCATAACAAAATGCCTCACATTCGAAGACGTCCAAATTATCACCATGTTAGCGTCTTTGACAGGGATAGAATCGAAATGTTGGTTTGTCCTATCGCGAAATTGACTGCCGTGTATGGATAGAAGAAGGTAGAGAAACACGAAAAAGACCTGTTACTGTGCGTACACTCTATCGCGGCATTCGAGCCTTTGGACTTTTTTCATACCGTCTACGGTTAGTGCTTCCTCTGACTGCGGACCACTGTTGTCAACGTTTGAATTGGAACAGAGAACGGCAACATTGGGAGGCAGACTGCCATATTGTCATCTTCAGCGACGAATGCGATTCTGTGTAGGTATGCACGATGGTCGTAGATGGGTAAGACGCCGCCGTGGAGAACGGCGTGATATTGGATTTGCTGTTGAGAGGCAGGACTATTGAGTAATGGTTTGGGGGGCTGTCGTCTGTGTCTTTTTACTCAAAGCAATATGACTGCTGTGCCTTACGTTGAACTACTTTACTGCGGTATCTAGAGGGCCGTCCACACGTCCTTTTTCAGCAAGACAACGCACACCCTATACTGCTTGTCATACTACGGCATTTCTTCAAGAAGCAGGCGTTAATCTTTGCCGTGGCCACCTCGTTCACCGGCTTTAAGTCCCATCGAACATGTGTGGGATATGATGGGAAGGAGACTATCCACTTTGCACCATCCGGCACAAACTCTGCCACAGCTAATCCACGAAGTTGCTTCGAATGAGGTGCCACAACCAGACATCCATCATATCATTTTGTCAATGCCTCGATGTATACAGGAGTGTATTCAGCTGCGTTGTCGCCCAACACGTTATTAATTTTTTCTTATTACTTGTCAACAAAAAATACGTGAGAATGTTACCGTTTCATTCGTGATGTGAAAAATTGCCAAAAAATCAAGTTGAATAAATTATTTTTTCTGGGTGTCATACTTCTAATGTTACCGAGTATATTTCATTTATCATTAATTATGCTTAGAACTTTGCATAGGAAGTACTGATTCTTTTTGCTCTTTCATACATTCTAGATCCGCATTCAATAACCAGACTGCTCCAATTACTTTGCCTTTGTGCCTAGTTATGAGATCCACCAAAACTATTCCGTTCTAGTTAATTTAGAAACTGAGGAGAACGTTATTTTTAGGTTGTCAAGGCGAAGAAATGGCATCCATGCCTCAAGCTGCATTTGCATCAAGCAAGATCAAACAAAGAGATGCTGCTAGAAAGTTCCTAGAGTCCAGTAAGTTATAATAGCATAATTTATATTTGTCACAAAATTATACTGGGTATTTGGAACATACGGCAAAGCCTAGAGTTCTTGCATCCTAATTGAAGGCTTGAAGAGTTCTTTTAGCAAAGATTTCACGAAAACTTAGGCATAGTAGGCGGTCATAGTACTAGAAAAGTATTTATAACAAATCAATAACCAACATAGTTTTTAACTGCCTCATTGAATGAGCCCATGTTTTTATCCATGTGTTTAGTGAATACCTCTATTACTGTATCCCCAGGACTTTGTTAGTATACTTGTTAAATTTAAGTGGAAACCCTCTTTCTTTAATTTTTAGGTTCTTCATGGAGATTTAAGCTACTTTTGCATAATAAAGTTTACACCTGTCTTCAATCGTTTTGAAGTTATTTGAGCTTATAATAAAATTCTAGAAAATGTGTTCATAACATCACTTCCTTTAGGGGCCATTGAAAACTATTTCTTTATGTTGTTTTTTGCTTTTTTAATACTCGGAGACTTATTTTTAATTTTAAAGTAAAATCTTGTTACTATGGGATCTGTATTGACTATTATTTTTACGATATAATCCCTTATTATCTGAATTTTTAAAATTTCATTATAAACTCAAATAGCTTAACAACGATTAAAGATAAGTATAAACTTTATTATACAGAAGTTATTAAAGACATGAAGAATATAAAAATTAAAAAAGAGGGTTTCCATTTTAAAATATAAAGTGTAACTGCAATATCTTATTTTTTGATTACCCTATATTGTACGGCTATAGATAAAAAGATGTTGCCCTACAAATCAAAACTGACATGTCCGAACGTTTTTCCCCAAGGTATACCAAGAATGTCACAAATAGGGATGCGACCTTTTTGTTGGGCCACCCTGTGTATAAGATAACGTTTGAAAATGGCGAAGTGGCAGGCTGTCAAAATTGAGTGTTGCTGTACAGTCGCTTATAAAGCTCTATAATATATCAATCTCCTTCTCTTGAAAATGCATATCCGAATTTGTAATAAAATATAAAACATGTCATTTAGAAAAACTGTTAAAATCTGTCTTAACTGACGTCTCATATTTTACTGCACATTCAGATATACCCTTACAAAAAAAAGATTGATATTTTGATCATTAGTTATTTAGTCATAAGCTTATTATTTAATTTATTATTATTTAATATTCTAGAGTTAAAAAGGGATGATAAGAGGATCTTTAAAACAAGGTACCACAAGACCCCTGATTATAAATTGTGTTTTTAAAGTTGAGTAATTTATTTTAACAGCTTGTAGAACTCGTCAAAAAAAGTTGATATACCAAAAACCACCTATATAAAAGTTGCATAACAAGAAAATTAGTTTACATTATCAAAAACTATTTAAAAAAATCATTATCAATCTAAATAGATACCGTTTTTACAAAAATTGTTCAAAATTGTCTCCATTTGTCCGATTAACGCAAAATCTTGCTCGGCGAATCCACGACTATTTACAAGCTTCGAAAATAAAATCCTGGAGTCCATGAATTAAATCACAAGCATTTTCAGTGCGCTGTTGAAGTTCTTCCAGAGTAATTACTGCTCCATCATGATACAAATTCAAATAGGCTAAGAGAAAATATCGCACGGCATTAAATCCGGGAAGCAAACAGGCCAAAAAATAAGCCACGCCTTTTTTTATAAATAAAAAGAAAATATGGTGAGAGAGCAAAACAGTTGACTAGTGGCGTGCAAATTTAGGCGCTAGCTCAATAAAGCGGAGAGTAGGGGGGTTAAGAGCGCCTGTGACTTATGACGGATTAAGCCACAAATCTCCGAGGTGTTACTCGGAACTTGTTTTGCTTGACCAGCCACACAAAAGAAAATAATCTAACAGCAATGACGTAACCTAATTAATAATACATGGAGAGCCAAATAAAACAAGATATTAAAAAAATCACAATGTATTGCCTCAGCAAGCAGCACACATTAATGCTCCGTGAGAGGAAGGATATTACCAAAAAAAAACTGTCGCATAATAAAATTAGTTGACGTATATCATGGTATACGATATACGCTTTACATGTATGTTTTACGCCTAAACTACACTTATCTCGGCGAAGGTATTCTCTTAGCTAGGGCTAGGCGCAGTCGAGATGTATCCCAGGTCAAAAAGAACAAAAAAAGGAAGCAAGTAGTGGGCACGTCACGAGGTTGCTTGCCTCGGGTCAAAAAGACTGTTAGGAAAAAAATTATTGCAAGAAAAGTATAGCAAAGGTAAAAAAATATAAAAATGTACTAAAGTGATATACCTTCAGAAATGTAATCCCTCGTTCTAAAATACAGTTATGGCAGCTCAAAGATCAAGATCGTGATCAACGTAATGTAATGCCCAATAGCAGGTGCCATGTAGGCACTGCCCCATATTTAAATACGTAAAATGCCAAACAAAATCAAGTTTAATTTAAGACTTTCAGTCAGCAATAATCAACATATAAGTAATATTTACAAAATGGTTAATTAAAATGACTTTTTACCCGTTTACATCAGGGTTTTTTTTTACAAAGAGGCAATTCCGGCCGCAAAGCAGCTACAAGGCAAGCTGGAGGAGTATATGGTGGCTCTCCGTAATGTCTTCTACTAGAAGGAAGCAGATATTGAACAAACTTCTTCAGGACATGCATTAATGCATGAGGTCCGATGGTATAAGAGAAAAAAAGACTTACTGCTGAAGGTTAGAATCCCATGAAAAAATGCACCTAAACCAAAACAGCTAAACTTATAATAGGGTACTACCCCACTAACTGGTGTTGGGCACCTTAGATCCCAGAATCTGGAGATTGAACAAAATGGCGCTTACACCAGAACCTCAGGAGGAAAGTGACTGATACGAAGCAACTGACTTGATAAAGGAAGGTTCAGTGAGTAGCCTTGGAGAAGATATGTTCGACAGGTAACCAAGTAACGCAGAAAAACCACTGTTTGGTTTTCAACACAATACTGAATCACAGAAAGAAAGATATACGTACTACGTGTGAAATTATACAATCAATAAACTATGAAATTTACCAAAAGAAAGTTATTGAAAAGAGTTTGGCGTAGGAATGGGCACTCTATCATTAATAAAGAGAAACTCAAGTTACTAGTAAGTGATCAACAATATTAAAAAAAAGGTTACGTGATTTTAGCACGTGACAAATGGGTTCATTGCGCCCTATCCATCTATCAGGAAACCCATTATTCAGATGTTCATGAACTTCTCATCTAAAATGTGGTGGTACCCCAACATGTAGGAACCACACATTCTGTCTTACATTTATAGGAACATCTTCTAATAATTGTGGCAGATAGTGTCGAAGAAAATCTAAATAAATTTCACCGGTCAGTCGATGTGGGAAAAAGTAGGTCCCAATAAGCATGCCATTTACCACGCCATCCCAAACATTTGCTGAAGATCTATGTTGGAAATGACTTCTTTTTACAGCATGCGAATTTTCTACTAACCAAACAGGATTGTTGTGGAAATTGTTCACTCGATTTCATGTAAATGTGGCCTGGTCTGTACACAAAATTAATTTCATAAAATCTTCATTTTTGCCAAAGCCACTGGAAAAATGCAACTCTTCTAGGATGATTCTCAGGTTGTACCGCTTGTACCCGTTGATAATGAAAAGGATAATTATACATTTAACTATGAGAAACTTCAACTTGAACTGTTATGGATCTAGTACTCATTGTTGGGTCGTCTTCGACCATTTCTAAAATGTCTTCCTCAATTTGTAACATTTCAGGTTGAGCAGATCTTTCAGCGTGACCTTCTCATTGTTCTTTTAAATATCCTGTGTCACGAACTCTAATAACTAAATTTAGAAACATCCCTGGGGCCGGATGATTTCTTAAAGGAACCTTTCCGCATACAACCTGCACGTTAGTATTATGTCCACTAGTTCATTGTTTTCGTAGACCTTTGCCATTTTTTCGCACAAAATAATCAGACAAATGAAAGTATACTATACACTATTAAAAGACTGATGCAACTGATCGATCCAAAGACTCGTAATGAAAACCATACAATAACACAAAAAGTTTGCCAAATTTAGATAAACGATAAAAGTATTAAACAAAAAACACACGGCAATGGCCGAGAATATCAAAAAATATGTGTGTTTTTTTTAATCTTTAATCTTTTACTATTTCTTTTATTATGCAACTTGTATATAGTTGATTTTTGGTATATCAACTTTTTTTGACGAGTTCTAGAAGCAGTTAAAATAAATGACTCAACTTTGAAAACACCCTGTATTTAAAAAAGTGTTAAAAGAGCACCCAGGCGCCATCTTGCAATTTTCAACTGTTTGTCTTATAATGATAGGTATAGTATTTATGCCTCAATTTCATCATTCCGAATTGCAGCTTGACACGTTAACAAAATAAGGAGGGGATCTTCTGCACTGTATAATTATTATTGTATTTACAGCTCAAATGGATATATCACCAAATTATAACGACAAATATATGAACAGCATCTGGGGCCAGTATAATCGGTATTCGGTCCACAATTTGAAAAAAATTATGGACAACACAACCAACATCTTGGTCTTCTCTATGCAGACTGAGTAAGTACACGTTCTCTGTTTTATATTATTTCGTGTATTCATATAATTACATAAATATATTGTTCCTGGTAGGGTTTGCATCTGTAAAATAATAGGAGAAATCCGGGTAAGGCGATTTTCCCGTTTAACATCCAAACCATGGTTTGGCTATCACCAAAAGGTACATGAACATCTTTGTTCAACTTTCCCCTACTGAGCGGGGCCCTGGCAAGTGCTTGTTTCGGAAATTGTTATTTTCAATATACAACTTAATCCCGTTCAAGTGATTGTACACGCGTTGAGCGATACCTCAGTATCGATTGGACCGTTCGACAGGGACCATTCGACCAAAGCGGTACCACCCGCTAGCTTTTCCCAGGGTGTCTGATAAATGTCCGCATGTTTCCACACCTAAGCTACGCAGTCAGTTATCTCCCAACAAAGAATGATGATCGAACCCTCGAGTACTAAGAATCCCAGACGTAAATTCACTCCACTCTCGGAATGTTCGGGTGAAAGGTGGACTCGAGGGAACAACATCGAAGATAAAATTTACTTCGCGAACATCTGCGGGATTAACACCAACATTGATGCTGTTCATCATTATTTGTAACCCAATCGTCCCGTCATGCTTTTCTTGGCGGAAACAAAAACCTTAGGGTCTGCACCGATTGATCATCTTAGATTCCCAAATTACGACGTGCACTCCAATTTGAGAAGAAACGGGGGAGATGTGGATTTCGTCCGCAGCAGTCTTTCCTGCTCCAGGGACGTTTCTTTGAAATCTGACCGGAAGGACATTGTATGGCTTCTCCTCAACTCCAAAAGATCCCCAAATTTATTTGTTGCCTTTATCGCTCTCCCTCGGACCACCTACTTGAATACCTCGCTGTCAAGATCGACTTCCTGAATATCAATTACTCCACCTCAGAGGTAGTTCTCCTTGGTGATTTCAATGACCACAATGAGCTTTGGTCGGTCTCAAACAAGACCAATGCAGCAGGTCGCGCAGTTGAAGCGTTCGCTCTTACTCAAGGGCTGACCCAGCTGGTGATGAGCCCCACTTTTTGCCCCCGCATCTCGTCACACGCCAGTAGCCTGCTGGAGCTCTTTCTGACCTCGCAGTGCTGTCCCCCTGGGTAACTCAGACCATGGTGCTGTGTGGGAGTTAGGTGTCGGTCAGAATCCGCTGTGGCAGTAGAACCTCGTCTGGGCCGCAAAATTTGGCATTATGGACATGCCGACTGGGAGGGGCTCAGAAACTTCTACCGCACATTCCCTTGAAGAGATATTTGCTTCGCTGACGTGGACGCGTCGGCTGTCTGTTCTTCGATAACCGACACTATTCACGTCGGTATGGAGGAATGCATCCCTTATACAGTGAAAGTACCTAGACTCAAGTCCAACGGCTCGTTCACAAATCGCGTGACACTGCTCGCAAGCACAAGATCAACACACTGAATCTACTTACAAAACCCCTCAGTAGAGAACAGCAATGCCAAAGGCCAACACGATAAAAAAGTTAGGCACAGGGTAATGCGTCAGCGCAATGGCAGTCTTTCTGGACGCTGGCCAAGCAGATTGAAAAAAACTTCTCACAGAGTAGCCTTCCACCACTTACATGTAACATTCAGACATAAGACCGCTCTTGTCGCTCGACATCAACAAAGCTTTTTTTGATTGCTGCCATTGTATTGAAGAGGTGGTGTACAGCGGAGCTTACTCCAGTTGTTTCGCGTCTCTTCCAGATATCTTATGAATCCGGCACGTTCTCAGAAAACTGAAAATTTGCTCATGTCCAACCCATCGAAAAAGAATATAAGACTGACCCTTACAACTACAGGCTTTTTTTAGGAGCATTGGCGGCGCATGGGCTAACCGGAGCAAGTTGACCAATCTTATTTCCATTACCATTTTGACCATAACTACGTCTAAGGGATTGGGAGTTCAGGTTGTAGCGATCTCTTCCTCTTCTCGTTGATTCCCTGAATTTGCATGCCCGTCGCTACTGCGTTCTTATTTCTCTTTGACGTTCATAATGCTCTTTTTCAGCCATCTTATTGTATTCCACACTACCTTCTGCTCGATCATTAGTGGTACTAAGTTTTCGGGCGTTATTTGTTGCCCTATACGAGAAATAGCCTCGTTTCTGAGCTCGTTCCACCTAGGGCAGCAAAACAAGGTGGATTCGCATTATCCATTTGAGTACAATACACACATTGATCATTCTCCCTTTTTTCAATTCTTTTCAGGTATGAGCTGAAACTACCGTGGCCAGTAAACAGCTGCGTCATGTGAATCCATGACCCGATGCTTGCAGTCTAACGACGTATGGATATCAGATATCAAGCGCTTTGTCCACTGTGCTACCACTCCGTTTTGGTTCCATTCGTTTTGCCAATCATCTACAACTGCTTGCCGTATCGACCTTCTTACAGCAGGTAACACTTCACTCCTGCGTACGTACACCAGCCGTCTTTACTTGGCTAGTAAGTGGTAGTAAGGTTCTATACATTTTCTACTCCAGTGCCAAGCTCCAAATTGGGGCCGCATACAGAAGTATCGAATGCACTACTCCACATAACAAATGCCGCTTACCATACGAGTAGCCCTCCAATATTCGGCATGATTCTGCCCAGTGCTGCCGCCCTTCCTTCCGCCTTTCTTACCGTACATTTGATGTGCTGAGCAAAGGTACCGTTTCTGTCCAACGTAACGCCGAGGTATCGGACCGACTCAGCAGGGATTATTTGCATATTACATACATGAAAACGTAGGCGATCTCTGCGCACGCGCATACTCTTCAGTATCACTGCTTCTGTCTTGTGATGTGATTGTTCATTCAGACATTTATTCTCCTGACGTACTCGTTTGCCCTGAACATCAACTCTTCCTCATCATTTGCGTTCACCACAACAGCCAGATCATCGGCGGAGCCTACCGCCATTGTTCCTTCTATTAGTTTCAGCCTCAGCACCTAGTCGTACAACACATTTCACAGCGTCGGGCCTAGAATTGACCCGTGTGGTACTCCTGCATTCACATCAACAATCTGGTTCTTTGCAACTTGCAGCTTCCGATTTACAAAATAGGCACGCACCAGATTTAACAAGTAAGGTGATATATTTCCACTTATTAATTCATGTAATATATAACTCCAGGTTGCATTATTAAATGCATTTTTAACAACCAGTGTAATAAGAGCGCACCATCTGTATGAAGCGTCTTCCTTCCTCTTCAACACTGTTTCAATCGCCTCAGTTATGGAATCACCTCTTCTAAAGCCCTACTGATGATCAGCAAAGCCTCCACTTTCAACTATTTCTTCCTGTAGCGTTTTCGTGATAAACCACTCATATAGTTTCCTCAGTGTATTCAGTAAACAGCTGTGCCGATAGGACGCAGGGTGTCCCACCGTTTTACGCTCTTTCAGCAAGAGGACGAGCTTAGCAATTATCCATTCTGATGGAAGCTCCTGTAGTAGCAGTAGTAGGTTCAGCATTGTTAGCATCCACACAGGCGCCACTTTGATTACGTCTTTCACTGCTTCAGGCAGTATGCCATCTATCCCTAGTAACTTGTTTATTTTCATAGCACTAGCAGCTTCTAACAGTTCCACTTGGGTAAAAAGCACTACGTTTTCGCATGTTGGATCCTCCTGAAGAATATCGGTCTTATGCGGAAATAACTCCATAACAATCTGCAACTTGGTTTCGGTTGTCAGATCCGCTGTTAGCCTGTTTGTTAGCTTTCCAGTAACTATGCGGTATCCATCACCCCAGATATCTTCTTTTAGCGAGTCATACAGCTCCAGCCTTAGTTTTTTCCTAGATGCGTCAATTGCCCGACGAAGATCTTTTTTCGCCTTTTTATATTCTTCCAATAGTTGCGCTTCCTCGGTTATGTAACCTATTCTATGCCGCCTTGTACATCTCCGGCTGGCTGTCTTGCATGCCCGTCTTTTGGTATCGATCTCTTCGTTCCACCAGTTCGGCACAAAACTCCGAGACCTACTAGTAGACCTCCCGCTCACCTGACAGGCTTGCTCGATGAGCTCTGCGGACGTCTTTGGGTTGCAATTGTCGGTGGTAGACAAAACCGTCCACTCTAGTACTGACCTGAAGGTCTCCCTGCCATGCTGTACTTTGGTTTTTTCTATGCGTTCATGGTACCCGCTGTTCCTGCCTGTAATTTCAAAGTAAATAAATTTGTGGTCACTAAGAGTTTCTTCCTCTACAACATTCCAGTTCTGAACAAGCACAGCAACTCCCTGTGTGGAACACGTTACGTCAATGTACGAACTGGATGCGCCTCTCACAAATGTTGGACATTCTGCGGTACTTTGGACCACCATATTTATCGCTGCCAACCACAAACACCGGTATCCCCTCTTCTGTCTGCTACTGGTGAACCCCATTGTGGAGATTTAATATTCAGATCACCCAGAATAATATTCTCCAAAGCCATACTTATGCTATCTAGCATTATGTTATCCACGTCGGTCCTGAACCATTCAATTGTAATGTTTGGCGAGCTAAAGCAGCAATAGATACGACACGCGCTCAGTTCTATAGATATGAAACCTTCTTCTGCTCTAATGCTCCTTACGCCCAAAGCCTTTAACAAATAATATCGCAACATCACACCTTAAGTCTTTTTTCCATGTGCATCTTCACCCTTTCCTTGTTCAGTACGCTATGTCTAGGCCTTTATCGAGGGCGGTAGCATATGCCATATCATAGCTATGTCTCGCCCTCATGGTACTGCTCAGCACGATTTTAATGCTGTCCATTTGTTCTAATGTAGGTTCTTCACAAGTTTCCTCTGTTTTGATTCTACCATCCTTCTGAACGTATGACATCGCGTGCTGTCTACCCTATGGTTACTGCTCTTGCAATGTGAACATTATGGACTGCTTGTGCATTCGCTTGCTTTGTGCCCTGCCTGACCGCATTCTTAGATACGATGACCAAATTCCAGACATCTGAAGCATCGAGTCACCACCACCTTTGGTCTTATAAGACAGTTTACTAAACTGATGCGTACTGCCCCCTTTCTTACATCTTTTTCTGCAAGTACCTTCTTCATCTCAACTGTAGCGGTCTGGTTACCGCTTTTGTTTAATCTCAAAAATTTTATGGCTATGTCGCCCTCTTTTGACCCGTAATTTTCACTGATCCCTCAATGATTTCTTCTTTAGTAGTGGTTTCCTCGATATCGTATACTTCCACCTCGCTCACCTTTTTCTGGATTTCTTCCTTGAGGACACCCGCTGCTGAGCTTTCGCCATCTACCATTAGTAATAGGTCACATTTTCCCGCCTTTTTGATTATTCTGATGTTCACTCCGATCGCCTCTACGAGTACCTGTGATTCCAGATTTCTCACAAGCTCTGCGTATGATTTTCCTCCCGCCTTTACGACTACTGATTGTTGATCTTTAGTCTTCTTAGTCGTTACCCCCTGTTTGAGCATCTGTTTTGTTTTTTTGCTTCCACAGCTTAACCTCAATTTCTCTCCCTCTATAGATAAACTCCAGAATCTTTCTTGAATAGTTCCAGTCTAATGCTTACGGAATAATGTAGAAGACATTTTTCCTGTCATGGTCAATTAGTATATCCTCGTGGGTGATTAGCCCATCATAGACCATTTTCATATCATCATCGATATTTGTAGGTACTGGGTATTTTCCGTTTCCTTCTTTCTGGTTTTTGTATTTGTTGTTTTCACAAAGTACTCAATCCGTCCTTCTGTTAAGCCGCCTGCCAACAACTCATTGATCTCCGGATGCTTGGAAACAATCTCTCTAATTGTCCCTTTATCGCAATTTTTCTTGGGGTTGATCACGGTTGCTACGTCCCACTCCATACTTATTTATGCAATGGCATTCATAATCCGTTTTAACCATTGTGAAAACCTATTCTGGCCATTTCTTGTCCAGCAGGGTTGAGAACTCATCGAAGATTTGACCTGTTCCCAGGACGCCCATTATTTATCTACTTTCCTTATGCTCCCTTTCTTCTATTTCGGCTTTGAAATTAGCAAAATTCACCTACACCCCGACGCTTGTCGTGCTTCTGGGTTGCTCTTTTCTAGGTGCCTTCCGGTCTCTCGCTATAGTCTCCTGTTCAGAGATCATCGCGTTGAGTGATTCCATTATATGGTTCAACCGGATGTCTTCCTACTTGATGCCTCCTTGTGTGTTTGAAGTAGCCTTTATCAATTCTTATAGCACAGCTTGTTGGCCTCCTCGTCATTGTCCTTCTCGCTTCTACGTCACTTCCCCGAAGCAGAAGGTAATCTGCTCCTGGATACTTCTTCAGCAGTGTTCCTCAATTAAAGCGATATATTCCTGCCTGGTGGTGTCCGATTTGAACTGTCCCTCCATTTGAAAGGGTCAACCTCTTTCTTTCCATCCGATTCCAATTTATTAAGTTTTTGATCCATAGTTGATTCCAGGAGTAGCTAAGGAAAAAAGTCAGCAGGCAGTAAGGCAAACTTCCCTGCCGGGTCACCATGTCCGCCAGGCATCGCTTAGAACACACTTCACACCTTGGACTTGGAAGGATTTTTCCAGGGTTTACTTCCTGGGAGCTTCCGTTTTACCGCCATAGATAGTCCATTTCGTGGCCCTGTTGTCATGTCCGTGCCAACGTGTCGTCCGTCGGTTATTCTATAAAAAATCGTATCATGAACCACAGCCGGGATCGTCTTCTGAATTGTTCGGGTCAGATCAATTTTGTGTTTGTGAGTCCCAGTTTATGAGATCAAAAAGACCAAAACCACCATATTCGGTATATTTTGCACAAATTGGTCCAATTTTCTGTTAACTTACCCCTGACTGAATTTAATATACGAGTATAATCGAATGTTAAAATTTTCATTCTTGTGTACTGGACAAATTTTTCAGGATGCTGTCGCAGTTTTTCCTATAGAATATGGAATTCACCGTATCATCGCCAGCGTTTAAAAATTTCGTGGATTCTACAGGAACGACGTTTTTGTAACCATAGTTTAGATGTATTACTATCCAAAACTTGAGATGCCCTCAACAAAACTAGAAAATACTTTGATGATATCCGCATTAAGGCCGAACTTCCCCTTTTTTCACTATTTTTCACTTATATACCTGTTTGCAACAGTATTCTAAATCCTTTTCATCTGATTACTCCATGATGTGTAAAGAGATATAAATATCGTTTTAAATTTTGCTCTGTCATAAAATGCATTTTTTCTGCATTTTATTGTCAATTTTTTCTTCGATCGTAACTTGTTAACAAATATTAGTACAGCTCTGAAATTGTATGTGAATATTTCACTTTTATGGATAAATGAAACAAGTGATAACTTTTATTCTTATCACTTTTTCTCTTATCTTTTCTTAAAAACTCGACGTGCTGCAAGACAAGGCCTCAAGAAAATCAAAGATTTTTGGAAAAGGAAAACTGATAAGAACAAAAGTGACCACTTGTTTCATTCTTCCGTAAAAGAGGAATATTCGCACACAATTTCAAAGCTGTACTTATATTTGTTAACAAGTTCCGATTAAAGCAAAAATGCATAATAAAATGCACGAAAAATGCATTTTTTTACCAAAAAATAAAACATTGTTGTTTAGTCATCTCTAGGCACACCATGAAATTATCAGATGGAAAGGAACTCATTCCACAACGTCAACGCGTGTGTTCTCCAGGGATGGGTCATTTCTCCGACACTGTTCCCCTTACATATCAACGATCTCCTTTCTTTTACGATCAACAGAACCCACAGCTTTGCTGATGGCAGCACTCTAATGCAGGAATTCAGAGCGACAAGCCTATCTCTGCCGCTGAGCTGGAAAAAACCAGACCGAGTTCTGCCAAAGAGCCGTTCATTTCGGCTGGTCGGAGTCCAGATCACCGATGACTTGATCTGACATGAACACATCTCGCCAATAGCGGCAGCTGCTGGGAAAAAGCTAGGCTATTTGTTTAAGGCATTACCTCCCCACTCTATAAAAGGCCCAGATAATGCCTAGCCTTGAGTATTTCTCACACTTGGGGGTAATGCTGCCCCGACTACATTATTTATGCAAGATGCTGTCCAGAGGAGGGCTGCCCGACTGATTGATGGCTCTTCTCTAACAATGTCGGAACTTTTTCGCACGGGCCGTCGGCGATCTAGCTCTCTTCTACCGCTACACAAGAGGAAGCTTTTCCCAGTTCTACTAACCTTAGTCAGTTCAAAAATCGAATTAACAAAGTTTCTTTGGGGTCTTCATCGCAGCCGCGGTATCCTGGCACTTAGGCTTCTAACTGCGCGATATACAAAAAGGCGGCAATAAGTTCTATGAGGGTCAGAGTCCTCATTTGGCTACCAAACTAAATATGTTTTTGCAAAAAAAGATTTATTTTGCAAGATAGGTGTTGTGCTCATAATTCCCATTGTATACTATCTGAAAAAAATAGATTTTAATGTATCTAATGGACGTTTAAAGTACTTTCTCAATTGAACAATTGAGGAGAATTGAATCGATGGTTTTGGTAAATATCAAAGAAATACCTGAATGAGTATAGCAAATACGGTATACTGTTTCTATAAGAAAGCTTATTTTTATAGCCCGTGGATTTAAACTTGGTATTTTGGTGCAGACAATAATGAATGTGAAAAGAAAAGCAAATCATTTCTTTGCAATCGTCATGAAGAATATTCCAAACTTGAAAGTATCCATGGTTGTCTGTTCGGTTTACATAATTGTTTTATGTAAAATTTAGATTCTAATATGATTGATATAAATTCACTGTCACCAGGAGGTCTGACAAAGTGGATACCTTACATCTTTTTATTTTTTGTCATGTACGTTCGTGATAATTACAACTGATTACTAACTAAGAATTATGGCATATTTTTTGACGATGGATTGACAAGGAGTCATTTCAGGTACCTCAGGTAAACTAGAAAAAATCAGACTTCCAGACTCACAAAAAATTCCTAAAGAACATTAGACTATCAACAATTCAGTCTTTCTAAAAAATTATCCTTACACCAATCCTGTGTCGAAGATATTAAGAGTTTCAGAAATATAAAATGTTGATTATAGGGACGTTTAAAAATTTCAATAAGAAGCATGTTTACTCATTTTTTGATAGTGTCCTTTTCCAATAAAAAAATTGTTTGGGTTTTTGACTTTGTCCTCCAGAACTTCCCAGTCGTAGCTTCCGCGTTGTTTAAAATGGTGCTATTTTTTTGTTAGAAACCCCGAAATTACTGTAGTTTGTGGTATGTGACGTAGTATCATTCCTTTATTCAACTATTCTTCCCATGCCCCACTTTCAGAATTTTTTAAATTTCATATACTTAATATATTTCGAATCCCTAGTGATGATTACGTGGTAGTTGGCAGTGGGAAACTCGAAATATCTAAAAAGCATTACTTAGACAGGAAAATATTATACCAAAAGAACAATTAGACGAAATAACTATTTATTGAGGATTCAAGAATTCAAGGCTCCGGTGATACAGTGTGAAAAGTTTTATGCAGTCTAAAAATTATGAGCATTCTAATAATTATTGAACAAACAAGAGTTAGTTATAAAATGACGAACGCTTGTCAAAATCTTGTCGACATCACTAGTTTCTATGACCTGCGATGTCTAGGACCCAATATAAAGAAGTATCAACATTTATATTTTCAAATAAATGAATCTATATAGGTGCTATCCCTACTGTAATTATTTTTTAGAGGTGTGTGGTATCAAATATCTGTAGGATAGTAAGTTTTCAATTAAATCGATAACACAGTTTTAAGTCCTTGGACTGTTACTTTTTAATGAACCATAAAGTACTTAGGATAAGGTTGTGTATGGAATATCACATCGGGCAAATGGCATACACGGCTTTGCTGGCACATACGCACCTTTTGCCGAAATTTTTCATGACCATCCTAAAATTGTGAAGCACTGATGGTTGGGGGCTTGTTGACCTAGTGCCACGCCTTTTTTTATAAGCAAGAGGAAATGGTGGTGTGATTCCCCTTTCCTTTTGTTTTTTTAAATTAATTAATGAATTAATTAAAGCACTATAAATGAAATCTAAGGGTCAGCCCGTGCAAAACAGCTATCTCGTGGCATAAAAATTTAGGCCCTAGCTCAATAAAGAGGAGAGTAGGGGGGTTAAAAGCGCCAGTAACTTGAGACGGATTAAGCCACAAATCCCGGTGACAATTAACTCTGCAAAACGTTTACCATGGTACACGTACGAAGGGTTTACACATATTTTAATGCCTAAACCTAAACTTATCTGGAAAGTGGTCTTCTTCCAGTTACGGCCCTAGGAGCACACAAACGCTCGGGCCAAAAACCAATGGCCAGCAGTGCGCAGTAACGTGATGAACGTCGCAAGGTAAGGGCTGCTTGCCTCGTAGCCAAAATTACAGTATAAAAAACCCTAGAGAGAGAAAGACTGCTTAAAAACCTACTCTCTAGTCTCTATCTGAGACAAAACTACTCATTGAAAACACTCAAACTCGAAGAAAAACCGTGTACATTCTCTTTGACAAGAAAAGTGAAGCAAAGGCAAGAAAAGTGACATACCCTCAAAAAGTTATCCCTTGTTCTAAAATAAAGATGCCACGGGCCCCCTGCCTGCTCCTCCTTTGGGCGCGAATGGCTGCAACCCAAACGGCTGAATTCGGCATGAGGTGACTGACGCGGACTTATTGTGATTTTGATAACCTACACATTTGATATTAATTTATTTATTGTTACATTAAAATGTTGCATAAAGGGTGGCACAACGAGCAGGTCGCACCCCCATTTGTGACTCTCCTGGTATATTTAGGGGAAAGCGGTCGGAGTCAATTTTGATTTCTAGGAGGACGTCTATAGCCG